ATTAAGAGTATTTTCAAATCCACAACTGGTATTGCCAAGTGGCCATTTGTTATGCAACTTGTTTACCCTTCTGGTCTACCAGTACAAAGATTGTAATTCATGAAATACAGCTTTTTCTATGAAGAATTGTTTCTTAGGGGAAAACACAGTCTGTGGTAGAAATGAATAAAGCATCACCATATGTAAAGGATTTCACAGTAAAAGAAAAGTTTGAAATGAAGATATTTCCAAGCTAAATGAAATTAATTTTTGTCTATCTTTTTAACTAGCAGGAAGAAAGTAAGGAAGAAAAAAAACCCCAAAAAACAGCAACTCTGGGAGCTGTGGAATTAAGAAGAAGTTAAAGATTGAAGCTGCTTCTCTGCCTTAGCTTGAGGATGGAGAGAAAGCTGAGAGTGAGTCAATGGGAATGTGCCAGCCCTGTGGAAACTGCTGGCAGGCAGCTACCAGCAGACAGACAGTCTCTCAGACCCTTTTCTACTTCCAGTTTTGATTCTCCTCCCCTTTGAAACCCACACAAGAATCCTTCACCTTTTGAGTTCAACAAATACGAGAAAAGTGATTTTTGAATTACAGAGATCAGAGTGATAGAACACATTGCAACAGTACTCACCAAGGCAATTACATCTCACAAAATTTACTTCTTGTTTTGGTGACCTGGCTCAAAGACAGAGTGTTTCTTACCCTTCACAGATCAGGAGCTGTTGCAGCAGCTCTGGATTTCTGGACTGTCTCTCCCTGTTTGAAATTTCATTTCAAATTTCCCCCATGTCTCCCACACTTTCCAGACCACCAGTCATTAAATGCAAAGCAAAATACATGTCCAACCATACAGCTGCTATGGGGATGGCATGCAAACTTTTGCAATAAATGCACCACACAAATAGTGGAGCTCCCAGCACATCAGATCCTGCAAGAAAATTCCCCCAGATCTCCCCAAGAGTTTCCTGATGCTCAGAGGCCTCCACTGGCCAGGGCGAGCTGTGGTTGGGACTTCTGACTTGTGTGGACAGTGATGAGGTCATCCCTTCATCTGCTGGTTTGTTTGCCAGATCATGATTTGAGGATTTTTATTATTGGGTTGGGTTTTTTCCCAGTGGGGAAAAAAGCTGCTCTAGCAGAGAGACAAGAGATGAGGCTGCTGTCTTGCAATGAATGTTTCACTTCCCTGCTTTGCACAGATTTCCTTCACCACCACATGCAATCTGCTTGGCCTCAGTTACCTTCCCTACCCTGCAGAGACAGTGGGAAGAAAAAAATGCATTGAGATTATGGCAATCTCAGCTTCTGTAGGAATAAGGGCTGGCTGAAAAGCTCAGTTAATGACCAACACCAGGAGTATGAGCATCTGTGACCTAAGAGGACAAATCCATCCCCAACAGCACAAATTCAGCAGCCAATAACAGTTAACCACAGCAGCAGAGATGGTATCATGTCTCTACTTCCTTCCCTGCTCAGACTTTTGATGCTTTCTTAACACCCAAACTCCAGTGCCCAAGGTTTTGCACTGAGATCCCCACTGGAGCAGTGGCAGTGCCATTACACCTCCACCTGCCACTTAATGCTGTGTCTGATACAACAATGCTGGAAATTGTGCTGTAGAACTACACAGTGCCTCTGGTACTGAGGAAAACTGCTTCCAATAGGGAGAATTTCAACCAGATTAATTGGAAATAGAAGAACTGTAGCAGTAAAGCCAACAGTTAAATGAGGTTTTGGTAGCTTTTCACTGAGACAAACAAAAGCTTGCTTGGGTGATGTAACCTAGTGTGTCCTTAGGCTGGCAAAAGAGGTACTGAAAGCACACAAAACATCATCTCCTGGCTAATTCTTGAATCTCAGTAGCTAATTTTGACACTTCAAGTTATGACTGATCAGCTCAGATGAGAATATGTTGCTTACAAGGGGAAATTACCTTCCTTAAATTAATACAGCAAACAGCAGGGCAGGATAAATAATCCATCCCATTCTTCAGAGCAAGAGCATAAATACAAGTAAGTATTCTGTAATTTGAAGAAGTGATTAATCTGTATTTATCCACATCTTCAAGTAAAATAAAGCTGCTACCATAAAATTACAGTCAGAAGTCCTTTCTTTTACTCTGTACAGAAATAAAAGCTCACATTTGAACAGTATTACGGACTATATATATATTCAGTGTTTAAGACTGATGATAAAAAAAGCATAGGAAAGAAGCAGATTGCTCTAGTAATTATAGAAGATGCAGCAGTCATTTAATTCTGCAGTGATAAGCTTTTATTTAGGTAAAGTCTTTCAGGATATAGAGAATTTTCACATACAATGAAAATTTATGGGGTATTTTGACAGCTTATATTTCCATTCCATTTTCTCTAATCTTTCACCTAAAACAATTTTATGTTGTTAAGGTTTCTTTTCAAATGTGATTTTATTTGAAAGCTTTTCTAAAACATTCTGATTAATTTTGGCAGCAAATGTAATGAAATAATTTGTCTATCTTTTACACTTCTGTACATCAAGAAACCCAATGAAAAACTCAAGAAACAAAAATTAAAAATGTGGGCTTGTTTTTACTTCAGCTTGAACAGAATTACTTCAACCCTTTCACCCCAGCTGCTGATGGACTTTATCTGAAGTCTCCTGGGGACCACATGAAATTTTGAGGACATGGGGCAAGAATAAGAGAAGAACCCTGGAGTCCAGAAGGGATGCAGAGGAGGTTCAGGGAAGGCAGGGAGGCTCCTGAGTGAATCAGCCCTTCCCCAGTGCACCTGAGTTGTCCCCAGGAGCTGCTGTGCTCACAGGGATGTGCAACACTCCTTGCATCACAGGAACAAATGAACGATGCTCAAAACTGAGGTAAAAGCTGAGATTTTTGGCTACAACTGTTTGCAGGAGTTTCCTTGCAGAACACTTGCTAAGTGCCCGGGCTGGGTGTCTGAACAAGGGCTGGTCTCACACACACTGTGTGCTGCTGTTCATGGCTAATCCCTCCGAGGTCAAATAACGCTCTGAGTCACCACAGCCATTGCCAAGGCAACTGTGGAACATACAGAGTGTAAACACATGATTACAGATTCACTGTGCGTCCAGGAAGGAGGAGGAGGAGGAGGAAGAGCTGCACTGAAGTCAGTCATACTTCCACTGAAATCAGTGTAATCACTGCTGAAACAACGCTGGACAAATGCATGGGTGTCAGCAGAGGGGATGAAAAAAATCAGGCTTTTCCTATTTCTTGTTCTGCCTTTCCCCAACAACCTCTTCAGCACTGAAGTATTTTTTTCCTTAGGCAGTCTCACCAAAATGAGGTAGGAGCACAGATGAGGGTGCTATCCACATGGCTATTTTACATCTGAGATGTCACCTCTTCCTTGCACCACAGCCCTGGGCAGTGCAGGAATGAGACTACCTTTTTGAAAATTCCCTTAAAACTCTGTCTGAAACAAGCTGTATTTTGGGACAGCACCCATCCTGGTCCAACTTCACACCCCACAAGATCATGACTATACTGGGTTAAAAAAAAAAAAAAAAAACCACTAACAAAACAATCCATTATTGCTAAAGGAACAATTGAGAGAAATTCCCTCTTTTCCTTTTGAATCATGAACGGTGTCAGATTTCCCACTACCAGCACCAAAAGGAGCTGCAGGGAGCCCTCCCAGTGACTCAGGACAGACAGTGCCCAGAGCATCACTCTGGTCCCACCTGGCAGCCACCTCCCTGGGCACATCCAGCACTGCTGCAAGGGGGGCAGTGATGGGAAAGAGTCGTTCCTGCCCGGAAATCCCATCCAGCAGGCTGGCTCCCACATGGGCTGGAGGGAACACTGAAGCTTTTCAGTTCCTTTCCTGGCACAAGCAGCCACAGCCCCGAGGGAGAGGTGAAGTCATTTTGAGCAGGGCTGGCAGAGCCCCACGCCCACCACACAAAAGCAGGGAAGGAGTCACCCCCTCTTGCTCTTCTGGGAGAAAATAAGCACTAATCTAATTGATTGCACGGGGCTCCAGTCATCAGTAGCCATAAAAAGGCTTCTCTTCCCAAGCCAACTGAACAACATGAACAGCACAAAAAGAGGAGGAAATGAAAAAAACTGAGTGGCCAACTTTTAGCTACTCATTCCCAAGAGAAAACAACTCCAAATTTTACTCCATGTGCATCTCTCACAAAACAATACTTAGGAGGTAGATGAAAAGACAAACCCAAGAAAAACACTTGATGGCCTGAGTTACACTGTGTGTAGTGAAAATGTCAGGCGTTTTTCTCACACTGGTAGCAGTGTGCTGCATAGCAACAAGTCAGAATGAAAGGTTAATGGTGAGGACTGCAGCCTGGAACACACTCATTCCCACGGTCCTGAAGTCACCAAAGGGAAATGCTGATTGGTTTTGTTTTGTTGGTGGCACAAAGGATAAAAACAGAGGTGGGCTTTCATGTGGAAACCCACCTCATCTGAACCAGCCATGGAAAGATGGCACTGAGCAGCACATCACCTGTACTGCAAGAGCTGTGGAAAGATGGCACTGAGCAGCACATCACCTGTACTGCAAGAGCTCCAGAAATGCTCTGCGAGCTGTGAGCTGAACAGGATTTAGGGAATGGGTTGTATTTCACCAGGAAGACAGCAATGAACCTCAGTGAGTCAAGCACACGATGAGTGTAGCTAAGACTTACTGGGCTGTCCACCATTTGGGCAACAGCAAACTTTACAAATGTATCTTCTACCATCTTTGCTGCATTTAAAAGCTTTTTACTATGTGTGTGTGTAACTGTGAGTTTTCTGCAATAGCATCTCATAGTTACATATTGAATAACTGCAATCTCAAAATCATATAATTCTAGTGAAATCAAGTAAGAGGTCTTTAAAAGGCAAAAGCAGTCATCCAAACCACGTGTTCTATTCCTTGTGAATGTGTAAATGAGGATGAATACAACCAAGCAAAGAGCATTACATTCCAGTCCACTTGTAGTAACCAAATTTCACAGACTGATACACTGATAGGCAAAGAAAGGCAATTGTTTACCAGGAGAAATTGTCTCGAGACTCCCAGGATTAATCTTTCTCGTGCTTGTGCAGTGTTGGACAGTTGATCCAGTGAAGACTAAATAAAAAACTACATCATCTTCAACTTTATCTTCCTCAGTCAGCTGCACTGTAATAACAGAGTCACCCTAGGAAAAAGGACAAGAAACAAGATTAAGTTTACATGACCAAGAACTGCATAATCTAAAATGAAATTACTCTTCCTACAAGGTTCACACTCTCCATTCATACATTCCTTTCATAGGGCTCAATGCCCATCCTAATTTTCAGATATGCAAGTCAACCTCAGTGCCAAAGCCAGCCAACATCTAGGAAACACACTGACTGCAACTCTAGAGAGAGACATGTAGAAATATCCCGGGTATTTTTAAAATAACAACTTAATATGGTAAAATCACACCAAGTCTGACAAAGATGTGCACACCCCACACAGGGGTTTTTGTACAGACACACACACATATATATAGACATATATAACACTATATATATATAAAATATATATCAGAATATAGACACACATAACAGAAATGAGATAGTGGCCAAAATTGCCTCTGCCCTCAGAAACTTGAGAAAATGCCCTAATTCTTGATTGAGCACTCAATTTCCCCTGTCCAAGCCAGCACTGCAACCATAGATCCAACCTGATCACTGAACACATCTCTCATCCACAATCCATAAATACACAAAGGTACCAAAGTTTCATATCAACTGAGATTTTTTTCCCACCTTCCTTACAAACACACACTAACTGTAGTGCCACAGACAGTTCTTCTCACTCATCATATAAGCTCATGCCTTGGTGAAAAGATCTGTATGTTACCAAATACAGCAGTTCTTCAAGCCTTGAGAAGAAACCTCTCATGATCTGTTGGTTAAACTCTCCTGCTTAGTATTATGGAGGATTTAGTTCAGTATCTCAGTATATTTTATCATTTAGCTCATCTTGGCTCTCAGGGAAAATTATATTTATAAAGGGCGCACACGGTTATCACAGTTAACCCAGCAAAGGGTACAGTAAACACACCTGAAATTCCTACATCTTCATGGGAAAGAACAGGGGCAATATGAACCAATTTCAGTATTCCATGGGGAAGGAAAAGCAAGGAAAGAGAATGTTTTACAGTTACTGCAGAACTAAGTGAAGCGTTCTCATTTGATGAAAAAATCGTAATCGACTCATTTAGGTAGGAAAAGACCTCCAAGAGCATCAGGTCCATTTGTTAACCCAGCACTGTCAAGCCATCACTAAACCACATCCCCAAGTGCCACATCTACACATCTTTTAAATGCCTCTGGGGTCTCCCCATGCTTTGTTTATTAGCCTGAAAAAATTATATAAACTACAAGATACTGAGAACAACAGTCTGTGATGTGACCTTCTGTCCGTTGTCTGTGGAGATCAGAACCAGGTGGATGCTCCAGTTTTACAGAGCAGCTGTGGCTGCCAGCTTTGCCACCACCTCACTGAGCATATGGCTACAGCTGCAAATCTGGAAAAGATTTTATTATTATTATTGTTATTGCAGATTATGTAATTCTGATTTGCATATTCAAGAGAATACACATGTCATTTCCCTTAAAACCTCCTCCTTAAAAGGTTTCATCCCTTCTCTTTGTCAGATACAACTGTTGTAGACAATTCCCAGACTTCCAGGCCCTCCCGTCTATCGCTTCCCACGCTCTGCCTCACGTCTCCCTCAGCTCCTTTCACGTTTCCTCCTCCAAACTCGTGTCCATTTCTCCCCTGATCCGGCCCATCTGGCACCTCCTGCCAGGGGCAGGACTGCACCTTTTTTTATACAAACAATTTATAAATTTTATATTTATAAACAAGATTTTGTGGGGCAAGTTCACAACCAGCCACTGGTCTTAAAATCAAATGTGTGGGTCAATCCTGTGACACAGGAAAGAAAACCATAAATTCAAAAAAAAACCCTTAGAGTTTTGTGAAGTGTATTTTGTATTTTTTAGAGGTTTCAGAGTTACAAATGTAAATTTTAGGAAGGTCTCATGCGATAATATCAGACCAGACTTCCAGCTGGGGAGGAAGGAACCATGTAGCAAAAGTCTATCTTGTATAGAGTCAGTGTTAAAATAAAAACAGGTGCAAAAAGAAATAAATCAAGCTTTAAATTCAAGCATGACCAGTTCACATGCTGAGTTGAAAACTAAATATTCCATTTCAAGCAAATGGATCCAGATTTGAGCTGATGTTCAAAAAAAAACAAAAGCTAGAGTTTTAACCTACAAACCCTTTGCGCTTTGTTTTTTATATGTGTCTTTGTTCAAACCATTTCTCCCTTAAGGCATGAACATACAAAGTACTTAAACAGATTTAAAATGCAGGTGACACTTCAGAACATGCACCAACAGCACTGAGTGTTTAACTCAGTATCTGTTAAAAGAGATTTTTTCTTTTATTTAACTCTGAAGTACAGCTAGTCTAATTTTTGTGAAATCAAAGCAAATTGACAGAGTTTTTGTGAGAAGGCACCTGTCTATCCATGCAAACTACTTACATTTCTAGGAAAAATAATTTAATTTGCATCAGTATTGCAAATGACAATTTGTTTATTTAGTTATTCACAGAAAACCTAGTAAACAGATGTAAGAAACCCCAACACCAGAGGTTCCACATAATCTGAAATCTAAGCTGGAACTTAAACACATAGCTGGACTTACTTGACTTGATACCTGACCTAATTTTGAAGGTGGAAGGTGGTCAGACCAGTGACCTCCAGATCTTTCCAACCCACTGGTTCCACTCCTTAGATTTTAATTCAGTTCATTTCAGTTATTGTTTAAGTCTAGGGAGAGCACAAATTATCATCAGCTGGTATCAATTTAAAAGGTTCTTCAGCTGTGTCTAAGCAGCACTTCATGGTGGGAGGGTCTCCACCACCCTGCTCCCGCCTCTTCTGGAGGATCCTTCAGCAGAAACTGTGGAACGCTGAGCATCTTATTTATTGGATTTTTTACTTTAATTTTTAAGTTGTCTCCCTGCAGGTATCACCTGAGCTAACTCGGTCACTGTGCTGGTACAGGTCACCCCCAGAAGTAAAAAACCCTCCTTCTTCAACACACCTCTCTACCTCCCAGTTACTGACAATTTCATTGTTCACTGCCAATTTTAATTTGATTTTTAAGTTATTCAAACAATGTATTTATTTGGAAAGGAAATAATACTCAGAACAAACCCCGCTCTTTCCAAGATTTTTGGACTTAAAGAAAATCAGTTACAAATGCAGCCAAATTCCTCCAACCCACATAGAAGACTTTCCAATAGCCCTATTGCATTCAGCCTCCAAAAACATTTTAATTGAAGTATGTTTACCTTTATTCATTTAATATTGTCCAAAAAATGTCATCTGTTCAGGATCACTGCCACACAAGGTGGTTATTATAACCCTTCTTTCATCCCAAATGGCTAGAAATGGGAGGCCAGCCTGCCAATATCCCTTTGGTGAAAGTACAGACAGATCAAAGCCATTCTCTGGAATGCTCCAACAAATAAGAATAATTTAATTTCAAAACTAGTTTGGATCGACTAATATTTACTTGGCTTAAAGCCCATTGGAAATGAAAACATTCCATTGTGGTCCATTCATGAAAGAGGCCACCCTGTCCCTTGTCTGGATCTGAAAAATCCCTGGTCTCAGATGTAATGGGGTGTAAAGAAGGTGGATGGGGCTCTTTCCTATACACATATTCCCTTTTCCAAACCACGGGGAGAAAGCAGGTCTGCCTCACCATGGGACAGGTGCACTGGAAAAGCCAAGCCTGACTTTGAGCTTGAAACTAGAAAAGAACATAGGAAGGGATTTTAGAGTGGCCCATCTCTGAAGTTTTGGCAGCAGAAATACAATTATCTCTAAAAAGGCCCAAATGCTGTCATTAGAACTAAACCCCAAAACTATCCAGACAAGGCACCTGTTTGTCAGCATGATTTGCTGCCATTAGCACAACTCCACCTTTTTTAGGTAGTAGCTCTTCCAGCATTTGTGGGTGGTGTGTAGGCAGAGCACAAACAACTCCAAGTAAACCTGTTAAAATGGACTATTTACCTCCAAAGGCTTTTTTTTTAATAGATGACCTCAGCAATATTTGGAAGTGGCAATAAAGTAAAGAAAACCTTTAAGCTCAAAAGAATTAAGATCAATTATGTTATCACCTCAAAAATACTATCCACCTTCCAAAAAGAAAAAATGGTTGTAAGCATATAAAGACATCTATCTTTTCCACTTCAAGCCTTGGAAAGCTGTCTGCTTTGGGGGAACTGGTCATCATTTGGGACCATGGAAACAGCCCTGGCAAATGCAGAATTCCAGACTTCAGGAAGAAAACCATGAGTTTAGCTGGCAGTAGGGAAGATTCCCCAAGGGATATCAGCTCCACGAGAAACAGGTACAGTTGTCAACAATATACTGAAAAAGGGAAAAAATATTCTTAACATGCTAGCTAACAAATTTTAACATTTCTGAAAACAAAAATGACAACAACAAAAACACACTAAAAAACCCCAAACAAACAAAACAAAAAACCAAAAAAAACCCCACCACATACCAAAAAACCCCCCCAAAAAAACCCCAAAAGGCGAGCTGTACTTTTGTAGCTGAAGCATTTTATTTCTAATCTGGGTTTCCCCCCCCATGGTTCATACTGGGAATTTTAAAGAACATTACTTAAGCCACTAACCACCCACTGATCTCCACACACGGAATCTAAAGATACTTACGAAAATTAAGTGTGCGTTAGATGGCACTACTGCAGCACTCTATTGTTACTTTAACAATCTTCTTTTCATGAGAAAACACCAACAACCATTAATTTATTCTACCCAGAAAAGCAAAATGCAAAAATTGCTGCTGATCATTGACAGCAAACTGTGTCTGTGTCCTCATGCAGCACAAACCTACTGAATGGGAAGTGCATGGGTTAGATGGGTTGGAGATTCACATGAAGGAAAGAAAGCTTTTCTCCCTAGGTATTTCCTTCTAAGAGCTGTAGATTTTGGGTTTTTGTAGATATGAAAGAGGCTGGATTAGATGAGTAAATGTAACCTGTCATTGTAACAAGTTCTGTTTTGTTTCCGCTACTCATAACATGAATCAGGCCCTGGTTGAGTCACTGCTTTATTGCATTTTTGCTTCTTCCCCTTTGGGAAGCCCTAAACTGCTCCCAGGAGAGCTTCACCATACCCAGTACAGCACAAAATCACAGCTGTGGTTTCTTCCTCCTCCTCCTGCAGTTCAGGCTCT